GTGAAATGATTTTTCAAATCTATAGATTTTACATACTCAAACATTTTGTTTCCTTGGACAAGATGGATTTTTCTAAACAGACTTGTTATGTGCTTGGCTAGTTTATGAAAACAATTCACGGGCAGAAATTGAAGATGGCATCACGTGCATATTGAGTCAATCATTCCTAGAATGTTATAAGTTAAAATCAGCACAAAGTAAATGGCACTCAGCCCTAGGGAAATGTGCAAAAATATGCAATACTTCCTTAAAACTAATTTCTTTAAGTCACTGTGTGTCCCCTAGATGTTTATCTACTTAAAACACAGTGACTCATTTGTGTAAACAGATTGCAAATAATTTGTGTGTAAAATTGAATAGAACCAAGTACATACAGACACCCACACACGCACACAACTGTGTGTATATAAAACCTGTGAGATCTGAATAAAGGATATGGTTTGTATCAATGTCAATTTCCTGGTTGTGATACTATATTGTAGTTTTGAAAGATGTCACCATTGTGGGAAACTAAATAAAGGGTTCAGGATAATTCATAATCTCTATTATTTCTTACAATTGCATGTGAATCTACAATTTTCTCAAAATTCTCAATTTTCTCAAAAAGTTAAAAAAAAAAAGAGAGAGAGAGAGAGAGGGAGAGACTCCTTTAAAATAAGATTGATAAGTGACATAAGGCTTGGATTTGAATTTAAATTTCACAAAACACAGGGAGCCCTGGACTGCACATTGTTCCTTATCAGTTCTAGTTCTCCCAACTACTTGAATTTCATATATAGAATATATGTAACATTTACTCAGTAACATTTACTCTACAGTGTTCCCATTTCAAAATTTGCTGTGGCATCTAAATCAGACCTCTGGTCCTTAGTTATGATGCAAAAGAACTGTAGTCTTCAGTACTTATGTCTTTGATTTCACGGTCTCTCCTCTCCCCACCCTTATCTTATTCTTTCTTTGCCTTACTTTCTAAATGCCCTCTTAATTCTATTTTGCTTCCATTCTTAGATTTCGCTTTTCCAAATTTTTCTTACTGTGTCCTCTGTATATTAGAACCTTCTATTACACAGATCTTACAAAAACTGCTCAGTTTCCTCATATTATTCTAAATTTCATTCCATCACTGCCAGGGATTGAATATCAAGAAGTGTTGGTACAAATACAACCAACCCAATTTTCTATTAGTTGCTCTAAATTGTTCTAGGAATTACAAACCTTCCACCCCCCCCCACCTTAGTGATTTGGCATTTTAATTTTTTTTATGTGATTCATTCAATTTTCTTTTTCTTCTTTTAACTTTTATTTTAGTTTCAGGGGCACATGTGCAAATTCGTTATATGGGTGAACTCTTGTCACAAAGGTTGGTTGTACAGATTATTCCATCACCCAGGTAATAAGCCTAGTACTCATTAGTTATTTTTCCTGATCCTCTGCCTCCTCCCACCTTCCACCCTCAAGTAGGTCCCAGTATCTGTTGTTCCCCTCTTTGTGTTCATGTGTTCTCATCATTTAGCTCCCACTTATAAGTGAGAACATGTGGTATTGGCTTTTCTGTTTCTGTGTAGGTTTCCTAAGGATGATGGCCTCCAGCTCCATCTATGTTTCTGCAAAGGAGATGATATTTTTCTTTTTTTGTGGCTGTATAGTATTCCATGATGTGTATGTACCATATTTTCTTTATACAGTCTACCAGTGGTGAGCATTTAGGTTGAGTCTATGTTTTTGTGATTGTGAATAGTGCTGCAATGAACATTTGCATGCATGTGTCTTTATGGTAGAATGATGTATATGTCTTTGGGAATATATCCAGTAATAGGATTGCTGGGTCAAATGTTATTTCTGTTTTTAGCTCTTTGAGGAATTGCCACACTGCTATTCACAATGGTTGAACTAATTTACACCCCCACCAACAGTGTATAAGTATTCTCTTTTCTCTGCAACCTTGCCAGTACCTGCTCTTTCTTTCTTTTTAATAAAATACCCATTCTGCCTCGTGTGAGATAGTATTTCATTGTGTTTTTGATTTGCATTTCTCTAATGATCAGTGACATTGGGCTTTGTTTTATATGCTTGTTGGCCACGTGTATGTCTTCTTTTGAAAGGTGTCTGTTCATGTCCTTTGCCCACTTTTTAACGAGATTTTTTTTTTTCTCGTATATTTGTTTATGTTCCTTATCGGTGCTGGATGCTGGATATAAGACCTTTGTTAGATGCATAATTTGCAAATATTTTCTCCCATTCTCTGGTTTGTCTGTTTACTCGGTTGACAGTTTCTTTTGCTATGAAGAAGCTCTTAATTGGATCCCATTTGCCAATTTTTGCTTTTGTTGGGATTGCTTTTGGTGTCTTCGATCTGACATTTTTAGACACACATACACACACACACACACACACACACACACACACGCTTGGATTTTTCCAAGCACTGTTACATGACCATCTTCATAGTAACCATGAAGTGAGTGGCAAAATCCTTACCTTGGGTAGGAATACCAAGGCAGAGAAAGGATAGTCAGGCATACTCTCTGTGTTTCCGCACAAGAGAGGGCACAATTTTTATTTTTATTTTTTTTTAGACAGAGTCTCATTCTGTCATCCAGGCTGGAGCTCAATCATGTGATCATAGCTCACTGCAGCCATTACCTCGTGGGCTCAAGCGATTCTCCTGCCTCAGCCATCCGAGTAGCTGGGACTACAAGTATGCACTACCATGTCTAGCTAATTTTCCATTTTATTTGCAGAGATGTGGTCTCTTTATGTTGCCCAGGCGGGCACCAAATGATCCTCCCGCCTCAGCTTCCCAAAGTGCTGGGATTGCAGGTGTGAGCCATCATGCCTGGCCTCTTACTCTTTTAAAAAAATTTTCTTGTATCCCCTCAGTTTTTTCTCTGTTGATACCATGCTCCGTCAATGGCTGGTATATGTAAAAGTTGTCTCCAATTTACAACAAAGCTGTATTCTCAGGACTCATTTGTGTAAAAAATACCTCCCCAATGGAAACAACACTAAAAATATTTCTTGGGTTTTCAGTCCCTGCCAGGACACTCCACTGGCCCTAAGAACCTGTTTACCCTGTGGTGTTGCTCAAGAAGTAAAAGAATATGAAGGAAGTTGGATTCTTATTGCAAACTTCAAGCCCGATCTCTGGGTCAGTAGCCCTACCCTCTCTGATCTTTGATGAAGAATGGAGGTTGGAGACCAGTGTGAGGTGCCCAGGCTGTGCAGCTGATTGGCTCAGTGAAGCCTCAGACAATGAGTGGATAAGAACTCCTGGAAAAGTCCCAGGAAATTCAGGCCTCAGGGACTGGGGAGAGTCAAGCCTGGGGCCACTTGCATGTGTGCTCATGCTATAGGGTGGTGGCAGCAGCCATTGAAAGAAATCAAAATATTTCACCCCCAAATACCCCTTCTTTGACTTATTTAGAGATGGCTGTTCAGAGGGCCTGCAAATAACAGCCCTACAAAGCTGTCTTCTGTGGGGGAAATTTACATCTGTGGATGTAGAGAAAATCTGCATTGATGCATTGATGCAGCCAGGCTTTCTCTGACACTCACTCCCTGCCCCCGTGTCTGGATCTAGGAAAAATTGACTAAAAGCCTGACACCTTTAAGGTCTGAAAGAAACAGTCACCATCTATTCTCTCTAAAGGCTGCGACCTGGGAGGTTTCATCTGTATAACAAGACCACCTTTGCTAGTCAGGACTTCTCTTCTCCCCCTCCCATAAATTGTGTTGCCAAGATTGGAGCCCCCATTCTTTCTGTAACCTCAAGATGGCATAAAAGCGTCAAGCAATCCTCCACTGATAGCCTTGATAGACTGCTTCCATCTCTCTACTCTTGTGAATAGTGCTGCGATAAACATGTAAGTATCTTTTTCATATAATGATTACTTTTTCTCTGGGTAGATACCCAGTAGTGGGACTGCTTGGTCAAATGGTAGTTCTATTTTTAGTTGAGAAATCTCCATACTGTTTTCCATAGAGGTCATGTTAATTTATCTTATGATAAACAGCATGTAAGTTGTCCCTATATACACAATGGAATATTATTCAGTCATAAACAAGAATGCAATCATGTCTTTTGCAGCAACGTGGATGGAGTGGAGGCCATTATCTTAATTGAAATGACACAGATACAAAAAGACAAATGCCACATGTTCTCATTTATAACTGGGAACTAAATAATGTGTACACATGGACATAGAATGTAGAATAATTGACAATAAATACTTGGAAGGGTGGGAGGGTCAGAGGGTGGGAGGAAAGAGAACTTACTTAATGGGTACAATATGTATTATTTCGGTGAATACCCTAAAAGCCTTTATTTCTTATGCTTTTTTCCCTTAGGCATTTTTTCCAATTCATCAGCAGTTATGGGTCAATTGCATGTCAAAGTGGGGATGTACAAGCCTCTCAAAACTCTACTTAGATATTGGAGATTTAAAGGCTTTCACCATAGTAGGTAGTATTGAAAAACAATTGAGTAGTATTGAAATACAGGTGAATGCTTATCGGCATTGCATATATCTACAATTTTAGAATAAATATTGGTGACAAAAGAAAAACAGCTTAAAACTGTATATCCCTGACTTAATATACCACTAAAACCATCAGAAGTTACAATCGTAAACATGATGATAGAAATCTGAAGTGTTGATTGTCAAACTGCAAGATACTTTCATTAGGATGAAGTGCTGTCTTGTTAACATTTACCAGACCTCAAATTCCATTCACACTGACATGGAAAGAGGCTTTTTAAATCTCCTTGGCAGCAGGAACTGTCCATTTTTCTTCTTAAATGCAATAAAGTTTCTTTTCTTTTCTTTTTTTTTTAAATTTTGTTGGAGACAGGGCCTTGCTATGTTGCCCAGGCTGGTCTTAAACATTCAGGACTTGAGTGATCCTTCAAATTCAGCCTCCGAAGTAGCTGAGACTACAGGTGCATGCCACTGTGCCCAGCAAAAATGTTTCTTTAAGAAATAAATGAGTCGATTCCTTGATCTGGTTTAAGGATACTTTATTATTGAACCAGTATGTACAAACTCTAACATGAAAATAATGAGTCACAGAATATCAAGACTATTTACAATACTTTTTTGTTTTTTACAAAACATTTTTACAAGATTACTTCGCTCTAAATAACATGACAGACATACACAAAAATCCAACTTTTTTTATTACATACATAAATAAATATTGACTTTAAATGACCACTGTAAGGGACATGAATTCTACAGACCACTTGGATGAGAAGGTAGCAGTTTTGTTATCTGCACACTACAATATAATTAAGTAAAGGGGGAAAATAATTTTATATAGACCTCTGTTAATCACTCCGTAAATCATATAACTCACTAAAATATTCAGTAGAGGTAAGACAGTCATGAGAATCCTCTCCGTACCTGACACTGAGTCTGGGCATGCAAAATCACAGGTAGGAGTCAACATCTTTACAGATCTGTTTATATCTTATAATAAACTTTAAAGTACATGCAACAGATATTTAGCCATTGTGTTCTGCCTATAATATGAAAGTTTATATAATAAGTTTTAGAGTTATTTGCAACCATAGAAATGAGTAAACTTGAAAACCCACGGCATAAGAAAGAGCATTAAATAAATAAGTCAATATCACAAATGACATTTACGGATACATAGGGCAAAATTAGTATTTGTACTTGTATGATACAGACACAAGTCAAAATCCTGTCTTTTAATCAAGTCGTTTAGTGGACATAAAAGACACAGTTTAGGCCTTTGAAGTTAACCATAATAACTTCTTAGCTGTCCCTTAGTTTTTGGGACTTGCTCTAGAAATTTACCAGGTTTCTTATGAAGGGCAAATTCTCATCTATTCAGTAAAGATCATTCTCTAGCAACGGTTCTCAACCAGAGGTGCCGTCCCTCAAGGGGTAGCTGGCAATATCTGGAGACATTTTTGGTTGTCTCAACTTGGGGGAGGGTGCAACTGGCATCTGGTGAGGAGAAAGTGTGGATGCTACTAAAAACCTACAGTGCACAAGACAAACCCCCATAACAGAGAACTATCCAGCCCCAAAAGTCAATAGTGTTGAGGTTGAGATGAACCTCTGTATATAGTCGGCTATGTATCTAAGGTTTTCAGGACACAGATGTATTTCTAATCTTTGAACTTCGTTTAATACACATTACAAAAAATTACCTGCCATAAACTTTATCTTCTCTACCATGCCATATTAAAACAGTGAATGACTGAAAAGATCACGTTGGTTTGCAAACATCATTCTATGGAGTTCCAGGTAGAAAAACAGGGTAACACAGATAAATTCATCATTAAGGAGCAAATGTTGTAAATAAAAATAATGCATGTAACTGCAATGTATATCAAATTAACCACCTATATTTGATGACAATATTTTTGATGAGCTCAATTTTTTAAAGTTTCAATACTATTACTGGATATATTTTTCTCACATTAAATAAATGAATCTAATTTCAATAAAACATATTACAGAATTAGGCACCAAAACTATGTTTGTTAAAAAACATAGATTTTATCCTTTATTAGAGCAATCACATTTTTAAAATTCAAAAAATTGTAACTATATTTTTGATCATTGAATAATATTGGAGCTTATTAAAATCCACAAGAGAAACACATGTTTTTTATTAGCCCATTAATAGCATTTTTCTTCCAATAACACCAATAAAATTTAAATTATTTATTTATATCAAAACTAGAAGCCCATAAGAGCTGCTTTAGATTTTTTTAAGGGAGATGTAAGTTTCAGAATCACCATCTGAACTAAAAATATCTGTACAATGTCTATTACCCAGACAAAAGAAGCATGATTAAATTTTATAAAATTAAATTTATGTACTAATTTAATAATATTTTGTATCTATGTATAGACTTCCAGCATTTTTATGTAACAGTACAAAAATTTGCTGGCATAAACATTTGGATTTGTTCATGACAAGTTCATGTAAAAGATAAATGGATAGCTGATAATGAAAAATTTTAATTTTTGAAATTTTAAGAACTTGAAATTCAGATGCTGGTGATGACACCAGAATAAAACATAGTTTTAGAGAAGCTATCTATGGTATCCATTTATTCAAGCTTAGGGATGTTTTCAAATGAAGACTGTTTTCTATTTTCGCCATTCAAAAATTCTTAGAACCAGGTAATTTCACGACTCAATGTGATAAATCCATCCCAACCTGTGACAGGAGCTGCAGAAAACCATTCCGAACCAACATGAACTTTCATTATCAGGTGTCCAATTTATGTTACTTGTACAAAGCTGCAAAACATTCCTGGAATATCCACTTTAAAAATAGTTTAACACACAGGAAACAGGTTTCAGTATCTATTATCAGGTATCCTTGTTTATAAATGTGTTTCCTAAAGACATGCATCAACATCGGAAAAGTATTTTCTCTGCATTTTAATTTGCCTCGGCCTTTAGACACTGCAGTGAAGCCGTGGAGTCAATGACTTCTGAGTTATCCACTCTTCCCAGGAATGGCCAGGCATCTGCATGAGTTCAGGAAACAGCAGGACAACAAGAAGCAAGCACCATTGTCAAAACCTAAGGATAATGTTACTGATTTTCTTCCTGTTTTACTTAGGTAGGTGAAGACATGTGGACACCTTTCTTTGACAGTGTTCAATTTTGATAAATTGCTCTTTTCTCAGAATCAGCACTGATGGGGAAAATATATTATCCTTATGACCTTTAAAAGAGCTGTATCTTTACTCACTATTGGTGAGCTATGAAAACGATTTCTTCAGGGATTCATGCTCAAGGTATATTCATGTATATGCATGTGTCTGTGTGTATATATATGTATATGTACATATATTTGCATATATATACACATGCATTTATAATTATATAGACATGCATATTTATGCACATTTCAAACCATGTATGTGAGTATTTCTTCAAGGAAAAAAACGGTATTAAATTAAACATCTCTGCGTTTTAGGTTGTTACAACATACACTGTAACACTCCATAGTGAAAACACGTTTTGACTTAAGTTCATGCTACCAGGCACTAATTTGTAGCATAAAAAATTTTCCAAAAAGTAAGATATAATAGATTTGAAAGCATATGGGTGTTAAACGCAAGTAACTGTCCTTCTCTATCAATCAAAGGCCTTTTTTAAACATTACCAAGAATATTCTGGCATACAAATACCTTTCTTTGCTTAAGAAAAGGCAAATCTCTGCAAAGATTTAAACATGCTCAATAGTTGGGATTTCTTCATTTGAAGCAAGGAGTTTTGTGAATTTTCAGATGGTGAAACAAAAGTGCACCAAAAGCTGTTATCCACATTGCGGAAAATAAGGGAAAATATAAATAAGATAACATATCAGGAAAATCTCTCACATAATACGATCAAATATTAAAAGGCATCCCCAAGAAATAATTTTCATTTCTCCAAGGTAAAATCTGGTTAGCAGCTTATTTCATTGAGTTCCTCTGGCTTGGGTGTCTTTTGTAAATCATAATTTATAGAGGGAACTTTCATTTACCTTTGCGTAAAGAGCAGCATAAGGTACTTAAAGTAGAAGTATTTTTAGATTTAAATTCGTTGGTATATTTTAGATTACACATTTTCATTTAAAAATCACCTAGGATAAAAATGATCTTAGGAAAGATTTGAATAAACAAAGCTGTATAATCTTAGTTGATTTTTCATATTGAATCAATAATTTTGTGAAAAATATATTTTATTGATTAGATTTATGCTTAGTGTTATGTGTGAATTGTGTATTTGTTACTCTCCTTTTTGGGGCAGAGTTTGGTACTCCAAATTCAGGGAAAACTGAGTTCTGTTGTAATTCAATAGAAATGAGCGACACCATACTTGAAAACAAAATTTAGCATTAAACAGGCCTATTCTTCATTTTCTCCAAGCTTGTAGGGAACTGGTGTCTGTCTTCACCAATCTACTGTTTCTCACTTGGCTCCAGATGCATCCGTGATTGACAGAAGTTCTTCCTGCACTAAAGTCACATAGGAGAGTACGGGCCTCTGAGCAGTTCCCACTGCCTCTGGAAGTGTGCATGTCTCGTGGCCGAAGTTCAACAAGCTTACACATCTGCCCAATTTCAAAAAATCTTTTTGAACAGTTTAGTATCTTTCTGGAGAAGGCTTGTAATGATGTGGATGACGATGCTTAAGATGAGATCCTAAGAAGTGACAAAATATGTCAGTCACATCCATTTATATGTATCAAATAAATGATAGAATTACTTTTATTTGTAGAAAAAGCACGAGACCCCGGCAAATGTTCCTTCCTATGACCATGTCTCCCCTATTCTGAATCTGAATGTACAACCACACTCTCTCTCTTTTTCCTGTTTTTCTCTTCCTCTTTGATGCCTTCCTAAACCATAAAATAGTAAGAAAAAGACAAGCTCCTTTCCTTAAGCTCACACTTATTCAATCAAACCATAATCCTTTTTTATTTGCTCAAAGAAGTTTTAAAAATTATCAAATACTTTTGTTAAATGGAATTTCTATGAAGGAATATCAGAAAAGCATTTATTCGATAAAAATTTTAGAGGCTATCAAGCTCTCCCATTGTGATAGTTTAGTTTTTCTTCAAATTATAAACATACCAAGTTATCAATTATAAGCATACCAATCTATCATTTAAAAAAATCAGAGTTAAAACTATGACTAATTCTCAATGTTTTATCCACACACTAATCATCAGACACTTTTTTTTTTTTTTAATTTAAGCTTGAAAATAAAGTAAACGAAGTACATAATTTAAAAATCAGCAAGAGGCTGTTTTGAAAATCTAGCTGACAATTTTCTTTTTAAATTTTACTTGATTTAGCAATAAATGAAGTAGGTGGACTTGGGTCATATCATGAAGAAAATTCATGACATTTATTACAGTAATATCTATGTAACAAGAACATAAGTTCCTTAGGAAAATATTATTTCCTATATTGTGATATTTGAAAATATTGATTTAAAAATATTTCAGTTTGATATGAAACTACAGATTTTTTTCCCGTATGTATTTATGGTTTAAAAGACAAGGAAAAAAGCATGCATTATATAGGGAAAAATGCAAGGAAGGAAAAAAAATAAAGGAAGGATAGAGGAAAGGAGAAAAGAAGAGAGGGAAGGAGAGAGGGATGGAGAAAGGAAACAAGGAAGGAGCAAAGAAAGGGAGAAAAGGGGCGAAGAGGAAGGGAGGGAGAAAAAGAGCAATTAAGCATCAACTATGCATTTTATACTACAGGTACCGGAGTAGAATCTAGTAAGTCGGTACAAACCGGGAGAAAGAATTTCAGATGATGACAATTTCCCTATCTCATAGAAACCTGTAATAGTGTATTTATTTGTTTTCATTTTCCAGCAAGATTTTTCTCTATGTTCACAAGACCTGACAGGACGCCTTAATGCCCTGGCACCCCACTCACTGTGCGCTGAAGAGGGTGGGAGCTCCGGCGTCCGGAACGTCTTGATGGTGGCTGGCCCCTCCCCTCCTGGGGTCAGCACTTGCACTTCCAGTCGGTAAAGAGTAGACGGTCTTAGATTGGGCACTGTTAGGACATAGTGATCCTAAGGGGATAACATAAAAGAGGATGCTCACTGACAACCTTTCAGAGACAACGCGCAATGCACAGAGAGCCTAGAACAGGTTTTCCCCCACTGGAGAATATCATACACAGGCAAGTTTGGTTGCTTTGTAAAGGCACAGTTTAATTTATAGACTTTTTCTCATTTGTGGGGGTTCTCTGCCATATGGTTTCTTAGCACCTCACTCAATTCTTGGCAGCCTAAGACACTTGGCAGAGTTAAAATATGCTGAGGTGCCAGTTCTCAGGGCTCACTCCTGGGATTTTATTTATTTATTTTTTAATTTCTTAACATCAGACTTTTCCATGGTTTAAAGTCTTCAGTTGCACATCTTGTGATATGAATTCTTGATAATCCAAATTTCAGTGAATGAGCCAACTGTTTTTCTTAAAACACAATATCTATCAATGCCCACAACTGAAAGTGTTTATTTTTATGCCAACACATTCCTCTCAAAACTCAATAAAACCTAGTACATTTATAGAATAACTACTCTCTAATTCCATGGAATTTTTCCTTCTGAGATTTCAGTTGTGTTTCTTTCCCTCCCCCGCCCCGCCCCCCTTTTGGATTTTATAACGGTAGTTGGCTACTCTAAGGGCATTTTCAGGGAGGGTAAAATCCCACACTATTTTTTTTTTTTTTTCCTGAAGCCAAGGAATTAAGTGACCTGGAAGACAGGCCAACTCATTACAGCCTCGAGCCAAATTTGAAGTTGGGGGGAAGACAGACAAACAACAAGCTTCTTTTAGCTATTCCCCCCCAACCCTCCCCAGTTCAACACTTCAAACAGGGCATGTCCACTTGGACCAGAGAGACACGAGGTTAACAAAGATAGAAGAAAATGGCTCAATCACTTACATACAAGATAGGGTAAGGTCTTCTCATGAGTTGGCTCTAGCCATCAAACTTTATCTAGATGGCAGCTTATGCCACTTCTTAGCTATGCACAGTCACATTTGTAATGTGTTAATGCTTGCAAAAGACACACTCAGAAGAAGAAAATGCAAAAGTAAGACTCAATTGTACAGCACACAGAATGACAGAGGTAGCCACCTCTGAAGGTCAGTATAAAGGAGCAGTAGATACCGATGACACGGACATAGTATAAGAGGTGGGACCTACGGAAGGCAGGATCTGGGACTGTGAAATAATGCTGTTGGGTAGACTGTTCTGTCTGCTTTCCGTAGTGACCTCAGCCCAAGTCACTTGAAATCCAGTCATGGGCTGATAGAGATTGGCCTTGGCCATCTTCCAAGAAAAGTGGCCCGTGATGTTCACATCCTGGACGATGAATGAAGCAGAAAGGTTCTCAGGCTTAGCTAGCACCTTAGAAAGAACATGACCTGCAGCAATGCAAGAAGGAAAACCAGGATTAGGTGACTGGAGAAGGTGTGCCCATGGGATCCACTGTAGGAATTTTCAGCGGCCAGTCTGTGGGATGATATTAATAGAAGCAATGTGACTTCGTTCTTTAAACATGGGTTCAGGCAATCACCCCTTTGACATATGGGGATAGGTTGAGTAGGAATCTCCTCACGACACCTTTGTACTAAATGCTGCTTCCAATCTTCCGGGGGTCATTTTTAGAATGCTCTTTTGAAGTTGGAAGCAGGAGAGCAGTTTAGACCCTGGCAGGACTTAACTATTTCTTAAAGAATAGCATGGACTGCAGTGAGAAGGTAAATATTAAAGCTGTTAGAAGAGTTATTAAATCCAAGGCTTTTTTTTTTTTTTTTCTTTAGAGGCAGGATCTTGCTATGTTGCCCATGCTGGTCTGGAACTCCAGGTTCAAGTGATTCTCCCATCTCAGCCTCCCAAAGTACTGGGATTTCAGGCATGAGCCGCCATGCCTGGTCAAATCCAGGGCATTTAAAAGAGTTTTTCCCACTGCAAGACAGGGACTTTGGCAAGGAAAGGGGTTGGAAGGTACAGATGTGAGGTTTGCTAGGTTGGCATGGAAAGTGTGTGAGTATAATCCACACAGCAAAGAGGTGGGATAAAAATGAAATAATTATATCAAACTTTGCCAAAACACAAGCGGTATCTAAATGTTTGCCTTCATTTCCAAAGGGTAACATTACTATCAAAGGACATCTTTCCAAGGCTGTTAGGCTTTAAAATAACACATTCATTCCTACATATCTTCTGTCCACATTGGGCCATCATTACACAACTTAGAAAGACAGGCACTTTTGGTTTTTCTGGTCTTGTGAAATGCAGTTTGGCAAGGTTTGCAAAGTGCTGCTGACACCTTAGACCTAGATGCAGAAGTCCTTCAGGTGAAAACGTACCTGCTTCGCCAGGGCAGCCAACGGGTTTGTGGCTCTTCCCCTTAAGAGCGGAGCATGGTGGAGTAGTGAAGAAAGTGGCCTCTGCCTTGGAGTGACCTTTTGGCCGTATTGCTTGGACAGTCACCTTATACTTACAGGAAAATGACAGATCTTGAAGAATTATATAATTTTCCTAGAGCAAGAGAAAGAGAATTATGCTAGCAATAAGCCTCATTAGGGATTAAAAAACACTGGCAAGAACTGAAATCATATTCCATCCAACAAGGATGTTTTCCTATCTAGTGTGTGCAATATGGCTTTTAATAAAAGTACAAAGCACGCACTGTCTACATTTTGATGAATGACAATTGTGAAACACTCCCATGGCTGCGGGATACACCTTCTAGAATTAAACGGTATCGTAGTAATTCCTCATCAAAGCACGCTACTTCTAAGGTCACAACCAGCATTTCTGAGCTGGCAGCAGTGCAGGCAGTGGTGTAAAGCTGTAAATACAAATCTAACTTTTTTCAGTTAAAAAGAAACTAATGCCGGCTTCTCTGAGACATAGAATTAGTTTATATGTAAGTTTTTCTGTTAAAAAATGATATTCTTTAGCAATGTAATTTTTCCCTTTTTTGGAGTGCTGTTACTGTTTTCTGCCATAATGTTGTGATTAAATATAAATAAAAGAAAGAGGCTAAATGGTAAGGAGTCAGGGGCTAAGGATATAACTTTACGATAATGTCGAAAGATGACATTTCCTGTGATAATAGGTGTGTACCTCTGTTTCTTTTATATTTGGCTAAGTTGCACTTATCCATTCTGTTTTGTATTTACCAATTCTTAATGTATATATATAAAAGTGCAGATGGATAGCTGGGCATGGTGACTTGTGTCACAGTCCTAGCTACTTGAGAGGCTGAGGTGGGAGGATCGCTTGAACTCAGGAGTTTGTGACCAGCCTGGGCAACACAGTGAGACTTCATGATTTTGTGTGTGTGTGTGTGTGTGTGTGTGTGTGTGTGTGTTTAATTATATTAAGAGAGAAAAAAAGGCACAGATGGAACATCTCTGGTACTCATTGGATGATGGGTGGGGGTCTTGCTAGAAAGCAGCAGGGCTGACGGGAAAAACATGAGACAATAATTAAAATGAAAACTGAGGCTTGAGTGATTTACTTAAGGGAGGAGTGGAAGTGGCTGCAGGTGACACAGCACTGAATGTTCAAAAGAGATGGGGAGTGACCTCCAGGCCTGCTGGCCCTTCATCCAGATGGTGACAGGAGATGGGGTGCACCCAACTCTGCAGCCAGCTAGTATAAACAGTGAATAGGAAACAAATCAATCTGGACAATGCAAGCCCAACCCAAGCCCAAGCCAAGGCCGCCATGTCTCTTTGGGAGTCTGAATTGCTTTTGTTTGGAAATAAATCTGCTCTTTATATGGGACTGTATTGGAATCCAAGGTTAGCTATTAAGGATCCTGTTTCACAGACATTTCAAGATTGCTTTCATGCTGCATAGGAGGCAGACATCTGCAGCAGTAAGTGAATTAGTGGATGCTCCATTGTAGCATAAAAACAAATTATAATAGGCCGGGCGCGGTGGCTCAAGTCTGTAATCCCTGCACTTTGGGAGGCCAAGACGGGCAGATCACGAGGTCAGGAGATCAAGACCATCCTGGCTAACACGGTGAAACCCCGTCTCTACTAAAAAATACAAAAAACTAGCCGGGCGAGGTGGCGGGCGCCTGTAGTCCCAGCTACTCGGCGTAAACCCAGGAGGCGGAGCTTGTAGTAAGCCCAGGTCCGGCCACTGCACTCCAGCCTGGGCGACAGATCGAGACTCCGTCTCAAAAAAAAAAAACAAAAAAAAAAACTGGATCTAAAGGTTTAAAAATAAATACAGATAAGTTCTAAGGCCCTAGAAAGATAATTTTTCAGGAGTTTGATTTTTATTTCTACCGGATACATTACATCTGCTCAGCAAATAGTTGTTACCACTCTCAGAGTTCCTCAAGATGATAAGCCTAGGATTGGGGAATCGCACTGACATAAGCCCAGTTCTGTGGGGTTCTGAGGCACGCACATATCAGTAAAACAGAAACCTCACCCCTCTGCCCACAAAAATGTTAATAATTCTCGCTTCTGTTTATTTCTTTCTCCACTTTTCAAATCAATTTCTCTATTTAGAATGTCTGTTGAATTATTTTACTGAAGGTCACAAACATTGGAGCTAATTTAAGGATAAATAAAGGGAGAAACTTTGGTGAACATGAGACAAATCAAATTCAGTAAAACAGAAAAAGAAGCTGTGTATTTCTGAAAATCCAGTGACTTGTTTTATCTCATTATCTTAAAATTATGCCAGTAGGTCTGGTTCTTAAAATATGGTGCTTGCTTTAGAAAATGTTCAAAACAAAAATATTCTAGTTACATATCACAAACCAAAACACTGTATGTTTGGGGCCATGTTTTTGGATTTTTTAAACTGTCCTGAGGTATTACATATAAATTGCCATCAAAGTGTATTATACACTTTGTATAATACAATGACCTCTTAAACATTTTGTGTTGGTTTGTTGATTCTAATCTATAATTCATGTACTAACCCCAAAATATTTAGAATAATATTTTGGGCAATATTGACAGAGTTGCTATCCTCAGAGAGTTTAATGTTCTCTTAAAGTTAAAAGTCAAAATATTGGTGCATGCTATACAGGACAGGGAGATTATTTCACTAACTGAGCTGATGGCATTTAGGGACATGGTGCGAAATGATAGAGTCACATAGACATTCACTTGTACAATTACACCTTTAGATCACAGTGACATGTCAAAATTCAGAAAATAATTCAAAGGTTTTGTCCAGTTAAGATGAAGCACACAGATACTCAGGCATATTTCCACCTGAAATATGGGAGTTCTTTAAGAACTGTGTCTTTAGTCTCTGCACTTTAGGTTTTGCTCTATGATGGTAACAGAGTAAGCTCCCAGTGCAATGGTGTGAATGGATAAAATAATGAGTGAATATAATGATCATTCTGTTTTCCACTTCCATCAAGTCATTACTCAATAGCTGATTTGTGAGAATGAGTTATCTGTTTGACATGTCTAGTTTGTATATCCTCCGGTCTAATTATGTTCACAGATCAAGTTGGCCCAGAGATCATGTCCTTACGTGGGTCATGCCAGATGATGCCTCTGATCCGGTTGTTCTGTTGTGGGCACACACTTCAGGAAACCACCGCACATGATATCGGTTGACAGTAGGATCTATAATGCCAAAACATACAACCAAAAATAATAGGTTGGATGTTACATTCCATGTAGCCTGGGGTTCTTGAACTTGAGAGGAGAAAAGAAGAGGAAATGAAACTCTACAGGTGACCAGTAGATGCACAGATGAGCCAAAGGAGGTGAGATTCTGATTACTTAATAATTATAATAATTAATAATTCTGAATACTTAATGATTAAGAACAAAGTAAGGGAAAAAAAGTAATATACTGCCAAGGGAAAACCTGTGCTGAAGTGCAAGTACTAAGTAGAAAAAAAAAAATTAGTAAAGTCATAGCAAAATGATTCAAAAGATGTCTTGAGAATAACCTAGCCGTGGTTTTTACAGCAGGCAAAGCCCTATAGTGAAAGGTAACACCTAGCAACAGCTCTCGTAATTCCTGTTGTAGAAGAGAATCATCAGAAGTTTCTCAATCCTACATTTTTTGTTTAAATAAAGGCGAGATACTATTGAATCCACACAAGAACAAAAACATTGCCTTCACACTTGCAGAATTGGCTATCCATGTTTATTTCCTGTTACGTATTGCCATAAAGAAGTTCTTTTGTCAAAAGGATAGGGATATATGCTTCCCACTCCCCCTTAACCAAGTGCATCGTGGCATTTCTGTATGGCTGATCCCTACTGAAATACGACTTGGTGTTCTCAAACACAGGCCAGAAGACTGACCTTTTGAACATGTTTATTCCCAGGGCAAGAGGCATATTTTCTGTACATTTCTTTACTTTGGACAATAAAGTGGGGGAAAAAAAGAGAAAATAATGACAAGCAACTCAATGAGTGTGGGAAAGCAGGCCTTGACAGTCTCGGGTTTATTAATCACCCCAGTGTGTCCAAGGGGTGTGAAATGGCACCAAACGGCACTATTTTGCAGGTGATTAACATCTTGTCCCCAACATCATGCCAAGTGTTTGATGGGGGTTTTCAGAGGACAAAACTCTTTGATGAAATTGGGTTGATCTAGTGGGAACTTTGCTTTGAGCACTTTGGAACCAGAAAAGAAGAACTTTAAATGAGAGAAAGCAAACAGATATAAAAGTGGGCACTCAGGGCATTTAGTTAAAAGAGAAATCACGTACTAGAGGTTTTAATTTTTACATAGCAGACATCAAGCGTTTATTTTTTTAAAAAAGAATTATAGGCTATTCACAAGGCTGACATCAATCACTGAGTGTGTTCATGTTCTTCCATTCAACAGCAGTGAAATAATCACACAGGAGTGGCTGCTGCCCTCCTGAATTTTACATAGAAATGGGGCCAATAATAACAGAGAATAAATATAATACATAGGTAAGATAGGTATTATGTTAGAAGGTAATAAGTCTACATATAAATACAGAAGGTGGCTGGGCACCGTGGCTCACGCCTGTAATCCCCGCACTTTGGGAGGCCGAGGCAGGCAGATCACAAGGTCAGGAGTTCAAGACCAGCCTGGCCAACATGGTGAAACCCCCTCTCTACTAAACATACAAAAATTAGCCAGGCGTGGTGGCAGGCGCCTGTAATCCCAGCTACTCCGGAGGCTGAGGCCGGAGAATCTCTTGAAACCGGAAAGCGGGTATTTCAGTGAGCCGAGATCGCCACTGCACTCCAGTTGGGGCAACAAGAGCGAAACTTCGTCCCCCCCGCCCCTGCCCCCACAAAAAAAAACCCAGAAGGTAAGAGCAGTAGGGTGGATTGACAAAAAGTGCTGATTTTATATAAGGCGGCTGGCGTGTGTTCAATTCTGAGTCAGGACTTGAAGAAGGTGTAGCAGTGGGTAGTGGCACTGCAGAGACCTGTGGGAGGGCGTTCTCAGCCAGCCCTGTCCAACGGAACTGGCGGTTGGGATGGAAATGTTCTGTCTGTGGTAAACACTAGTCACCTGTGCCTATAAAGCACTTCACATGTCCTCTGTTTAACAGAGGAATTAGATTCTTTATTGTTTCATTTTAATTAATTTACATTTAAACAGCTGCAGATGGCCATGGTTACAATACTGGGCAGCTTAAAAGCTCTACCAGCAGGGAATACACAGCACGTGTCAAAGTGCTGACATGAGAACGGAGCATGACAGATGACTGAGGGTCTTTGGTGAAGAGCAGCCAGGGGACTTGGGGTGGCTATATTACAGGAATACGAGGAGGCTTGGCTGCCCTGGGGATCCTCCATATCCTAAAAATCCTTTACATATTTTACAATGCAATTATATTTTCATAGGAGGCAGCATCAAGAGTGACACACGGGGCACTCCTTTTGGGTTCCCTCCCTTTTGTTAGCCCTAAATCTCGCCTTGTCTGAGTTCACTGCACTTGCATCTTCTCTCTGTGTCACCTCCATCAATCACTTCATTGATTCCCATGGCTTGAAAAATTTTTCTGCTGACAGCTCCCAAACGTCTACTTCCACCTGAGCTAGTCCCTTGAAGAGCTGATGCTCCCTCGTTCCTCTCCCACGTGGAGGCTTTCCAAACTCAACTTTGCTGAAGCTACCATGTTGATTTCTGTGCCTCAGCTTCTCCTAGCATTCACGCTTTTCTTTCTGGCTGTAGGATACAGAATTTTAACCCCACAGACGACCTTCGAGGAAGGTGGGCTTCAGCAAACAACTCCAGCAGCCTCAGTGAGCCTCATTCCCTTTATCTGAAAATAAGGATACTAATTCAGCCAATGCAATAGGTTTGGTGTGAGTTTTAAATGAGTTCATGTACTGGTTTTCTATAGCTGCTGTGACAAATTACCATGAGTGTAGCTGCATAAAACAATATAAATGTCTTCTCTTCTGTAGGTCTGAAATGGGTGTCACTGGCCTAAAATCAAGGCAGGCCTGTACTCCTTTCTGGAGGCTCCAGGGAAGAATGTATTTTCATGACTTTTCCGGTTTCTAGAGGCTTCTGGCGTTCCTTGGCCGGTGGTGCCCTTTCACCAGCTTCAAAGTCAACAACACTGGGCTGAGTCCTTTGCACCATGCCACCTCTCTGATTCTTGCACTCCGCTTCCCTTTCTACTTTGAAGGACTTTTGTGATTGTATTCGTTTCCACCCAAATAACTAAGGGTAATGTCCCCATCTCAAGGTTGGCTTTGAGTCACTGAATGGCTTTTCTCTGCCCTCTGAATAAAGACACTAATACTCCTTAGCCTGGCTTCCAGGTCTCCACTGCCTCTGCATATTCATCTCATGCAGAGACTCCTCTCATTCCCAATGTTTTGTTTGATTCTGTTGTTACTTCACGAATCCCTGTCAACCCCATTTGGCCAGAGCTCCGTAACTACAAAGATAATGCCTATTTGCTGTCACTGTTGCATAAACAAAGATGAGCATGGCGCCTGGCAGGTGATAAACAGACAGTAAACATTTAATGAATAAATCAGTGAAAGAAGATATAGCAGTTCAAATTCACTTTTATTTCTCTACTCATTCTGGCAACAGTGAAAATAATTCCTTATAATCTAAGATATGGAAGAAATAGTGTGAGAAGACATGATATTACATAAGGTAATTAAAAGCAATCTGAGAAAGTAAAATATAAATTAAACTTAGATTTAAAATGCCCTGAAAGTATTGTAAATGGCACCCCCAAATGACCAGTATGGGGACATTTATTTTTTAAAAGCAAGCCCTAAAAATGTCCACACTCGTTTACGTGACTTGAGTTCAATTTTAACAGGTCAATTCATAGATATTTGCTTTGATGGAAGTTATTTATACAAACATCATGTCCTTAGTTTTATCTTGCCAATTAATAAAATCCTAAGAGCTTGTATTTTAGGTTATGACTGCAGGTCTCAATCTGTAACTAGAATATTAAAAATAGCAGAGTTCAGGCTGGGTGTGGTGGCTCATGCCTGTTATCCCAGCAGTTTGGGAGGTTGAGGCGGGTAGATTGTCTGAGGTCAGGAGCTCAAGAGCAGCCTGGCCAGCATGGTGAAACCCTGTCTCTACTAAAAATACAAAAATTAGCCGGGTATGGTGGCACATGCTTGTAATCCCAGCTACTCGGGAGGCTAAGGCAGGAGAATCACTTGAACCCAGGAAGTGGATGTTGTAGTGAGCTGAGATCGTGCCATTGCACTCCAGCCTGGGCAACAAGAGTAAAACTCTGTCTTAAAAAAATAATAAAATAAAATAAATAGCCAAACACTTCCTGAAGGGCTGTATATGAAAATTCTGTGCTAAATACCCAACTGATCTGGTTCCTTAGCTTAATTCTTTCCACAAATAAATGACATTACAAAGAAAGTACTTGAAAATTATTTTTAAGTGATAAAAACTTTACTTGTAATATGCTTCAACTATGGTTCAAAAATTAGATGGATCTAATTTTCTTTTCAAATAGATCTAACTCACAGTGTCTGGCATAAATAAAGGACTCTAAAATTTTTCATTAAACGTGAATTCCTCAGTTTGCAAAAGTCTAATGACCAAGAATGATAGGGTTATTGACATTAGAGCTCTGAGAAAGAGGCAATCCTTGGGTTCCCCAGAATAATAATTGCTGTAAAAAGAATTGTAAGTCATAGCATCAGGGAAGGGGGCACACACTTAGAGAGGTGTCACAGAATGCCAATTCCACCAGGGTGGGGATTTTTGTCTGTCTCTTTGCAGTATTTTAGCATCCGAAATGGTGCATTGCATACAGTAGGTGCTCAGTAAAGGTTAGTTGAATGAAGTCTTCTCATGGATCAATGCCCCATACTCTATCTGTAAAAATGATTTGGTGAAACAGAACTTTCTGATGTTGTACAACTAAAGTAAGAATTTCTGAGTGCCACATAGACACGCTACTTAAAATAGAAGCATGAATGTTTCCTCTATGTCTGAGCTAACTTTTCACATTTATGTTGTAAAAACACAAAGTCTAGAGCTAGAAAACCATCAAGGTGCAGTGGCTCGTGCCTTCAACCCCAGCGTTTTGGGAGGCTGAGGCTGAAGGATCACCTGAAGCCAGGAGTTTGAGACCATCCTGGGCGACATAGAAAGACCGCATCTCTACAAA